ATTATATAATAATATTATTAAGTATAAATTTTACATTATTAAATTTATAAATTTATATTAAATTGAATACATATTAAATATATATTAGTATTAAGCATTAATAATTATTATTAAGTGATAACATTATTTCAGAATTTCAGTACTGATAGAAGTTGAATAGTATCAACCTGGAAAATGCAAAATAATAATATAATAAACAAATGTCTACAAGTGAGAAGAAGTAGGGGTGCAAGGAATTATAATTGCCAATGTTCTCACTTTTCGTAAAGAAAAGTCAATAGGTTCTGTCTAAAATTCCAATGTTTAGCTAACAGAACCCTTTTATCTTTTAAAGACTACATTTTTTATTGTTCATTTTTCTTAACATTAAAGGAGTCTGCTACAAAACAGTATATTTTTGTTAAAGAAACACTTTCTACCTGCCACTCTCTGTCTCTCTCTGTCTCTTTGTTTCTCAGTCTCTGTCTCTTTCTCTAAGTCTAACAATTTCTTTAGTTTTTCTTCAGTTACTTGTTTTTCTGGTCTGATATACTTCAGTAAAATTAAATTTAATACATTTTATTAAAATACCTTGCAAGGTACCATTTTGTATTTATATAACTATTTTTAATCTATTTTTTAAGACAATATTTTGAAAACTCCATAAAATTTTTGGTTAGAGAGACCCAGGGTAATTATTTTTAACTTTCTTCTAATCTTCTGCATTGTTTATGTTTTTGGTATGTGAATACATCAACTTTAAAGAAACATTTGATTTTCTATGTACTATTCTTGCTAATACATAAAAATCTTGGTAAAATTGATGTTTTTCTCACTCTAAAAGTAAGATGAAACTACAATAGACTAGGAACTGTGACTGAAAATACAGAAAGTATATACAGTATGATAAATAAAGTTAAATAGTTTCATGGGCAATTATTTTCAAACTTTCAATTAATATACTTTTGATGCCACATCAACTCTTACAAAGCAAAATACAAATGGAGCACTTCTAGTTACATGATGCTGGAACAATCTTGATAAAATTAGGTATACATTGTACTAAGCAATACGCAAGATGGCAAATTATAAATATGTTAACATATCAATTTTGTAGCATATGAGAAGGATTATAATTTTTGATTAGTTTCCTTTTATATCAGGAATGTAAGGGTGCCTTTTTATTAAGAAAGAGTTCAATGTATTTTACCAGATTATCACATTTACAAAAGAAAAACCCTATGATTACATAAATAAACTCTTGAAAGAAATGGTAATTTGCAGCTTCTATTTCTGATTTTCTTATAAATGTATTTAGAGAATTAGTACAAAAAAGATGGTTCCTTAACAAAATAAAATCACATCTATCTCAACTTTATATACAACATAAAATAGAGTAATTTATATTAAATTCAAAACAATCCTGACACCTAATCTCCTAATACTATCATTTACATTGTTGTGAAGATTTTTTTTTTTTTGAGAAAGATTAGCCCTGAGCTAACATCTGTTGCCAATCCTCCTCTTTTTTTTTGCTGAGGAAGATTGGCCCTGGGCCAACATCCATGCCCATCTTCCTCTACTTTATATGAGCAATGCCACAGCATGGCTCAATGAGCAGTGTGCAGGTGGACACCGGGGATCAAAACCTACGAACCCTGGGCCCCCGAAGTGGAGCGTGCAAACTCAACTGCTGCACCACCAGGCCTGCCCCTACTGTGAAGATTTTAACTAGCTCAATCATATATCAATATATATAATGAATATAAGACTATAAAATATCAATTGTCTACATGATATAATTTTTTATTTAGAAAAATCAAGATTTATTGAAAAATTTTCAAATTAAAAAATTTGTTAAATTTTCCAGTTTCTAAAAAACTAGCTTCCTTGCAAATTGAAAATATAGCAATAGTTTGTTTAAAGATTTACAGAAAGTAGATAAAACAAAGATATCTGTAGTATAGAATGACTAAAACTACAAACTTTACAGAGGAATATATAAAAAGAATTCAAAAGGGGAGAGAGAGAGAGAGAGAGAGACACTGTGGTCCTGGAAGGGAAACACAATCTTGTAAAGATTTCAGTTTCTTTTAGGAAATTCTGTGCAATCGTGTACATTAAATGCAACTCGGGGAAATTATCAGTATAAAAACTATTTAATCCAAGAAAAAGAAGAATGGGTTGCAATGTTTGCACTAATAGATTTTACGACATGTTATCAAGACAGAATAATTAAAGCAATGTGGCTCTGAGACCAGAATGGATCATGAGGTGATAAAAGGAAATTTGACTATATTCTGTGTGTGTATCTCTAAGTGCATTACATGATACAGGTAGGTAAATTATAGACTATTCAATAAAACGGTGTTGAGAAAATTTAATACCTAGGAAATATTTTTGAATTATACATCTATAGTACATGAGAAACATAAATTCCAGAAATACTCTAAAGATTTAAACAAAATTAAAAGTTAATATTCGTCTAACCTAAAGTGGGAGCAGGGAGGTTAAGAAAAGGTGCTTCTAATAATGTTAAAGATTAAAATTTTAAAAGAAAAAATGGATAGTTTTTAATATATAAATTATAAAATTTGTAATATGGCAAAACATCACCATACAGAAATTTGAAGTACATGTACTATACAGGAAATATCTTATAATGCATATAAATATACCCATATATCAGAATATAAGTTCATATATTTCTCACTTGAAGAATTCTTACAACTCGGTAAAAAATATATGTCTCTCAATATTAAAATAGGCAAAAGATGAAGAGTCAATTCACACAGAAATAATTCAAATGGTCAATAAATATTTTAAAGATTTACAACCATATGGTAATCAAAGAAATAAACTTAGAATAAAAATAAATTACATTTTCATCCATTGGATTTACTATGTATATGCATAGATTCCTTTTCCCTAATATCTCCTCAGAGGAATCCCCTAAATCTCCAGGCTTTTCAAGTACAGAGGAAGGGGTTCCCCACAATATTGTTAAATGAAAATTCCTGGTAAAGGGCCTGGGAATATGAACTTTAAACAAACACATTAATTACTTTTTGTGATCAGGCAAGCTTGGATCTAGTGTTTGTATGGAAAGCAAGAAAAGATAATTATATACAGTAAACTGCTAGTAGTCTTACTTAATCTTGTATTAAGATTAAATGAACTTAATTTTATTTATTATACTCCTGTGTTTTTTCTCAAGTCTTCCCATAGAGTATCTATTACTTTTATAGTAAGAAAATATAATAAAGTTACAATAAACACAGCAGATGAAAACATGAAGGAAAATGAAATTTGAGTGAATGAAAAATGAGAGAGCCATTATGCAAATAACAAGTAAAATTTAACCAAAATGGAAAACTGGAAAAATAGTAACATCAAATATTTAAGTATGCCCATCATTGATGAACCATTTTGCCAATGAAGATTTAATATCAGAAGTTAATAACATTGTTAAGTTATCACAGTAGTTTAGGAAGATTTGAATTCTCTCGTAAATCCTGATTCACCATAATAGCTGTGCCAGTAAATTTCTATGTTGAGAGATGAATTTCCTGTTGCAAAACACAGGTGCACCCAATGTGTCTAATAAAGGGTGAGTCTCAAGAGGAGTTGAAGAAATAGAGGAGAAAATATCTAGACAATGAAAAAGTCGTTTAAAATAGGAAAGTCACTATGGAAACAGATGACTGATGGCAGCAACTTGGATTTCCTATAATCTTAGATGTTGAGAAATTTTCTGATAAATATCACCTTCATCACCACCATGTTTTCTAGAAGTATAGAGTTCTATCAGGTTAAAATAAAGAGTTTTTTATTCACTTATTCATTCTTCTCAATTTACTAAGCATCGTATGTATTTAACAGGTACTGAGAAATGTTAAGGAAACCTAAATGAATAAGACTCAGTTCTGTCCTGGAGAAGATGTTGCTTTCAAGTCATGATGCATTATAAATACTATAGAAGTACCTTTGTGATTTTACACTCCAATATTTTGCTCTATATTGGGTCCTCCATTAGACAGCAAAACTTTTTAGGGATTTTTTGTTGTTCATCTTTGTAAGCCTAGGACTATGTCTAGCATAAAGTAAGTAGTCCATACATTTTTTTCCAATTTTTTAATTGTGGTAAATATACATAACATAACATTTACAATTTTTAAGTTCAGGTTTTAATAATTTAACAATTTTTAACCATCAGGTTCAGTGGTATTAAAGACACTCATAATGTTGTGCTACTATCCCTGCCATCCATCTCCAGAACTCTTATCTTATAAAATTGAAACTCTACACCCATTAAAGAATAAATCCCCATTTACTGCTTTCCCCCAGCTCCTGGCAACCACAATTCTACTTTCTGTCTCTATGATTTTGACTATTCTAAGTACTTCCTATAAGAGCAGTAATACAGTATTTGTCTTTTTGTGACTAGCTTATTTCACTTAGCATAATGTCCTCAAGGTTCATTCATGTTGTAGCATATGTCAGAATTTCCTTCCTTTTTAAGGCTGAATAATATTCCATTGTACATATACACCACATTTGGCTTATCCAATCATCCATCAATGGACATTTGGGTTGCTTCCACATTTTAGCTATTGTAAATAATGCTTCTGTGAACATGGATATACAAATATCTCTTACAGGGATCGTGCTTTCAGTTCTTTCGGTTATATACCCAGAAGTCGAATTGCTGGATCATATGGTAATTTTATTTTTAATTTTTTGAGGAACCATCACACTGTTTTCCACAGCGACTGCACCATTTTACATTCCCATTAATGGTGTTCAAGTGTTCCAATTACTCCACAACCTCACCAACACTTGTTGTTTTCTGATTTTTTTATAATAGCCATCCTAATGAGTGTGAAATGGTATTTTAATTTTGATTTGCATCGCCCTAATGATTAGTGCTGTTGAGCATGTTTTCATGTGCTTAGCCATTTTTATTTTTTCTCCGGATAAATGTCTATTTAAGCCCTTTGCTCATTTTTGAATCACGTTGTTTTTTTGTTGTTGTTGTGTCAGTTAATAAATTTTTAATGAATGAATAAAGATGAGAGAGAGCCCCTGAAGATGTAAAGGAGTGCTAGGAAGCCAGGCTAAAATGGAAACATTTTCAGTGATATTTGACTTGGAGTCTTAAATGCTGAATAATGGCTTCCCTGGGAGAGAAAGGGACATGGAGAATGAGAGAGAAGAAGATCATTCTAGAAGAGTAGGAGGTTTTCAGGAAGCTTTAAAGATTCCTAGGCGAGCTAGAATCAAGGTGAGAGACCTCTAGTATCTGCTTATCTTAAAAGCTCGGTGAGTATTTGTAGTACAACTAACAGTTTTACAGTTTAGCTATGAGTGATCAAAGACGGTGTGTTTGTTTTACTACTAAGGGAATTATATTTCTTTCATTTATGTTATACATTTCACTAAGTTATGTGTAGGTAATATGAATGATTTCATATGTAAGTAAGACTAATTCCTTCTATTAGCCTTAAATATAATTTACATTGACAATTATCCTTTTTCTGATTAAAAAAAGCATGCTTTTGCATGACTTGAATAAATGAAAGAAAAATGGAAGGGTTATTTTTAGAAAGGGTTTACAGTTAAAAGTTAAATAAGTGTGGCTTATCCTCCTCCTTGTTTTGTGTAATAAGGATAAGCTACTTCATTTTGCTTGGATGAATGGAGGGTTAAGATTATTTCCTTTTTTTTTTTTTTCTTAAATTAAATTGTCTGGATTAGCTCCCATTTGCCCAGGTAACTGAATATCTAATTTTAGTCATTTGAGAAGGTATCTCTTTATTATAGGACAGAGGTGAGAAGAGGGACAATGGGGACAGTACTTAGGAATGTTTTGTGGACCTGTCAATTGCAGTTTCCATTAGAATGCTCTTTTGGGATCATTATGAGAAACACGTTGGCAGCATGTTTACTCTCTTTCCCAAACTTGGGTGCAGGACCTTGACTATCATTTCTAAGGGAATGTCATTTAACAGATCAATTATGGGCATGAGTGCAACCAACCACCATTTTCAGTGTCCCAGCTATTTCCAGAGAGCTACATATGAATGAGATACCAATATCCATTCTCTTCCATCCTTCCAATATGGCAGTTTTATTCCTTAGCCTTGGAACAGAGCCATTCTTTTACTAGTTTTCTGTATTAGTCAGGATTCTCCAGAGAAACAGAATCATTAGGCGCACGCGCGAGAGAGACAGAGAGACAGAGAGACAGAGAGACAGAGAGAGACAGAGAGAGACAGAGAGAGAGACAGAGACAGAGAGAGAGAGAGACAGAGAGAGAGAGAGAGAGACAGAGAGAGAGAGAGACAGAGAGAGAGAGAGACAGAGAAAGAGAGAGACAGAGAGAGAGAGAGACAGAGAGAGAGAGATGGATTCATTGTAAGGATTTGGCTCACACAATTTAGGAGGCTGGTAAGTTCAAAATCTATAGAGTGAGCCAGTAGTGCATGAGACCCGGGGAGAGCCAATGTTTCAGGTCAAAGGCCGTTAGGCATGAAGAGCCAGTGTTGTAGATGAGGTCTGAAGACAGTAGGCTGGAGAATTCTTTCTTATCCAGAGGAGGATTGGTCTTTTTTGTTCTACTCAGGACTTCAACTGGTTGGATGAGGCCCACTATATTATGGGGGGCAATCTACTTCACTGATTAAAATGTTAATTTAATCTAATGTTAAGGTCTGCCAAGTTAAATATTAATTACATCCAAAGACCCCCTGAATAAAGTTTGACAAAGTATCTGGACACCCCCTGACCCAGTCATGTTGACATATAAAGTTAACTATCACATCTTATAAATACAAAAACTATTTCATCACTCAAGAACTATTCTGTACCTAACTTGAAGAAACAATTTTTGAGCGGTGTAAACCAAAAAATGGTGTCTACTCTCCTGTGGGAAGGAACCCTATAGCCGAAAACCTGAAGTCCTGGCTATTTTTTCCAGAAAAGACAAAAAGGGAAAAAAAACTGTGAATATGAAAGGTGCGAGGGATAATTAACATTCAGGTATTCATAATGATTTCCTCTTTTCTTTATTCTTTTGCTAAACGGGCATTCATTCATCTCCAATTTAGTTTAATTTACTTTATATAAAATGAATTACACTTGCTATCATTTTTGCATCTGGCTTCTTTCACTCAACATTATGTTTGTAAAATCACCTACTCTTTTTTTGTTTAGCTATAATGTATTCTTAATTTTCCATTTTATGAATACATATAATTCACTTATCTCTTCTACAGTTGATGGACTGATGGGTGCTTTCTAGTTTTGCGTTTTGAGAACAATGTTGCTATGAACATTCGTTTATATCTAACCCGATGTTCTTATGCACACATTCTTTTATGGTGTATATCTAGGATTGAAATTGATGGGCCTGGGGTGTTTGTATACCCAATTTTACTAGATAGGGCCACATTATTTTATAAAAAGATGGTTATAAATTTATATTCTCACCAGCCCTGAGAATTCTTGTCGTACTGTTCTTTGCCAACAACAGTTAATGAAAAGATGTTTAATTTTGTCTATTTTGTAGCATCTCATTAAGTCTTTCATTTTTCTCCCTTATTTCCAATGTGGTTGGCCATTTGTATTCACTCTTTAGTGTGTGTATATGCAAGTCTTTTGACCATTTTTCTATTACGGTCATGAGCTACAGAACGATGTTTCAGTCAACGATGGACCATTTGTACAACAGTGGTCCCATAAGATTATTACCTCATGGCCTAGGTATATAGTAGCCTACATTATCTAGGTTTCTGTAAGTACTGTAGGAGAGGAAGAAATTTTCCTCTATCCTAGATTCTTCTGGCTGGTGCAAGAATTAAATTGATATGAGACAGATTAACAGGAGAAAAACAAACAAAAGTTTAATAACATGTGTACATGGGAGAAACCAAAGAAAACCGAGTAACTTGCCAAAATGCCCAAAGCCATCACCTTAAATACCATCCTCAGCTAAAGATAAAAGAAGATGTTGGGGGTGGGAACAACCAGGGACTTCAAAGGGAAGGAAGGCAATTCACAGGTAGGTGAAAAGGAGCAAATGGTTTGGAAAACAAGTGTTTGGCCACATGGAAACAGAAGAACACAGAGGCGTGCCAAACAAACAGTCTTTTCTAGTTTACTCTCCGTCTACCACCTAGTTCCTGTTATGCTAAGGTGATAGCATGCTTCCTGAGACAGGTTTTTTAATCTGAATTTTTTTAGGTATTTAAGGGAGAGGTAACGAAAAAAACTTTCTGAGTCTTTTGTTTCTTAAAAGGAGTTAGCCAAAAATAATCTTCGTGTTAGAGACATGTTTTGGGGTGGCAAATTTTGTCTCCAATCAGCACGCTTTATGATGTTCACACAACGACAAAATCACGTAACGACGCATTTCTCAGAATGCATCTCTGTTGTTAAGCAACGCATGACTGTAGCCTATTTTGTTGTCCAGTTTTAGGAATTCTTTGCATGTTCTAGATTTAGTTCTTTGTCTTTGTTCTCTCTCTTTTTAAAAAATAGTCTTCGTCTTTGGTTTTCTTCAGCTTCACTACCTTATATCTAAGATTTATTTTTATTTATTCTACTAAGCCATTAGGTTTCTTTAACTAGTATCGTTCACCTGGAATCAACTTTTATCTCTAAAATATTTTCTTTGCTTAATTATTTCTCTCCTCTCTTGTTGGAACTCTGTTTTAAACTTGTATTAGTGAATTTTGCTTCCAGAAATGATGGTAGACAAGGTTGCGCCTACTGCGCCTCTTGCCTTTGCTGGATCTCATTAACGATATTTTTGACTGAGTGCTGGTGTTGATTGCTGCCCTTAAAACTTATTTGTAGAAATTCTTTGGGCCTAGGATAAAGGGTCTTCATCCAGAGAGGATTTGTGTTTGATGCTTCCATGCAATCGTGAACAAAATCAACTGAGAGCCACCTCAAACCACGTGTATCTTTAAGCCACTCAGCTTATCCAGGCCATGAATATCTGTTAGAGGGCTAGCAGCTGAGCTGTGGCCACTTCTCAGAAGACTGTGTTTTTACCTTTACTGTTATATCTCCAGTCTATTTAATCCCAAAGAAAACAATGACAAAATACAAAACAAGCAAACAAAGAGCAGAATCGCCAGAAAGCCCTTTCCTGTAGACTGTTGCAGTCAAGGTACACGCTGGCAGGTGTTCATCAGGTTCACACTTATCCTGAGAGTGGAGCCCTTGGGGATCCTGGCTTCATGTGGTGAAGATTTCTGTTAAACTTCCCTCCTGT